CCGGCCATCCCTTGGCAGCAGCATCCAGCTGCTTAGAAAAATAAGCAACTGCCCTTTGATATGGGCCCAGGTCCTGTGCTAGTTCCCAGGGCAATCCCCTGTTTCTCATGGGAGAAGGGGAAAAATGGTTTATTCACATCTGGAAGTCCCAGAGCTGGGGCTGACATGAGAGCCTTCTTTAGCTGGTCAAAGGCTCACGTGGCCTCCTTTGTCCATTGGAGGTCCCTTTTCCCATTTGTAATGAGTGCATACAGTGGTTTTACAAGCAATCCGTAATTATAGAGCCACAATCTGCACCACCCCCCCGTCATTCCCAAAAAGGTTCACAGTTCCTTTATTGTCTTGGGTTTCAGGGTTTGACATATCGCTTCTTTATGATCTTGCCCCAAGGTCCATTGTCCGGCACTAATCTCATAACCCTGGTAGGTCACCTTCTGCTTTACCACCTGAGCCTTCTTCTTCGATACCCTGTAACCCTGTAGTCCCAGAAAGTTTAGGAAGCTTACTGTCCAGGCCACACATGCTTCTTTCTGTCTGGGTGGCTATTAGGATGTCATACTGCAACAGCCTTCCTTCTCCTGATGGGGCTTCCCAGGTCTCCAAGTCCTTTGCAAGTTCTTTTCCGAACAAGGTGGGTGAGTTCTTAAAGCCCTGAGGCAACCTTGTTCATGTGAGCTGTGTTTTACGCCCACTCTTAGGGCTTTTCCAATCAAATGCAAAGATTTTCTGACTGGCTTCATGGAGAGGGAGGCAAAAGAAAGCATCCTTCAGGTCTAAAATGGTAAACCAAGTTAGCTCTGGTGTTAAGCATGTTAATCAATTATCGGGCTAATTCCTTCTCTATCTTCCCTTTTCAAGAGGTACTGTTTAAGTGCATTTTTTTTTTTTTTTGCCTTCCCTGGTACATTAGAAGATCATACTCTGGAAAACACTTGACTTAGGATTTCCTCACTAATTTCCTCTTTGGTCTCAATAGCTGTCAATATCAAACTCAACACTTCCACATATCTTTGATCATTTACCTACATATATATATTTTTTTAATAAAAATTATATATATATTTTTTAATAAATTTTATTTATTTTTAAATAAAATGGTTGCATGTAATCTTTGCAATAAATCTCTCCCTAGGAGTGACTCCGGGGAGTTGGGCATGTACAGGAACTTGTGAATGCCCCACTGTTTCCCATATTTCAATGGTTTGCAGAAATATGCTCTTTCAGATTGGCCAGTTGCCCCCTTCACTACAACGTAATCATTCCCCACTGATACTAATGCTTTATTTAAAACTGAATATATTGCCCCCACATCCACCATAAGTTCCACCTCTTCTCCCTCCTTCCCCAACTTCATTTTTATAACCAGTGGATCTGCTGGGGTTGATTCCCCCGGTCCTCTTCAGTCGTCTTTTGCACGCGCGACTACCATCTCCCTTCCCCGCTTCCCTTTTCCATTTCTTTTCCATTCTGGGCATTCATTTTTCCAATGCCCAAATTTCTTACATAGGGCACATTGCTCCTTGCCTAGCTGGGGCTGTTCCTGTCTGGGCCTCCTTTTTCCTTCTTCCCTAATAACTGCTATCAGCCTCTTCTGCATATTTAATTGAGGAAAATAACAGTCCTCTCTCCTTCCAAATTGCACCGTGTGCATGCACCACACCAAAGGCATATTTCAAATCTGTCCAAATGTTTGCCAGCTCAAGAGCTCTTATCAAGGCGATGATTTCCACCTTTTGGGCTGATGTTTGTTACCGCATATCCTGTGAGGCGAAATCCCTGGCGGACGAAGCTGCTGCCATCTATATACCAATCCTCCACATCTTCTAGGGGTGTTTCCTTTAAATCTGGTCAGCTGGAGTGTACCGTGTCTTGATGCAATCATGAATGGGTGATCTGGAAACTCTGTTACTGAGGAAAGAGCCTGGGTTCGCAGTATTAGTGCCGAAAAAATGTAGTGAACTAACAGTCCATTATACACATTCCTTTTCTTCTTCAGTAGCTATCATTTGCATACTGCAGCAGTGTCCCCTTTTCCTGAGGGGTCTTTCAAGCTTCAAGATCAGAGTTCCCAAATATGGTGGGGCTATTCTTGAACCCCTGTGGTAACACTAAGTAAGCTGAGTTTTCCATCCTCTATTATTATTTTCCCATCCAAAGGCAATATTTTGATATAAAACCGTCCATAATTTCCGGGGTGATTAGGGTCTCACTTGGGGGGGTTGGTCAGGGGAATGCAATCATTGAAAGTTCCCTGAGCGGTCCCATTGGCAATCTGAGCTCACACATGAACTCAGGTTGTTTTAAGAGTTAGCTGTTTTTCTGTTTCCATGACAACTCTCTCGGACCCATCATGATCCCTCTGCTCCAGAGGGCTCACACCGGTGATTTTGAGGTCTCTGCCTCAACCCTGGAATGCATCCTCTTTCCCTGCTTATTCAACTTCAGACATCTCTGTCAAATACTACATGCCACACCGTCAACACCTTCAACAACCCTTTTAACACCTCATTTTATCTTATTGTTATAGGTTTTCATATTAGATCTCTCACTTTGGCTTTTACCTAGTCTTTTTCTGAACTACTTGTAACCTTTTCAGTTGGAGTAAAGCTCTGGAACAAGGCAGCCCTCACGTTCTGCCTTGAACTTTTGTCCAGATCCATTTTGTCCTCTTCAGGTATCTGCTTGGAAGAATTCCATGGGTTAGGGACCTGGAAGGAAAGGGGATCCAAGGCAGCTGGTCAGTATTCAAGTATCACTTTCTCCAAGCTGAAGATCAGTGCATCCCTATGAGCAAAAAGACAAGCAAAGGGGGCGGGAGACCTGCATGGATGAGCAGGGAGCTCCTGGCAAAGCTCAGACAGAAGAAGGAAGTTTACAGCATGTGGAAAAAGGGACAGACTACTTGGGAGGAATATAGAGACACTGTCAGAGTATGCAGGGATACAACAAGGAAGGCCCGTGATTTTGAGATCTCAGCCTTGGGTTGAGGCAGAACTATTAACATTCCTACATCCTCTTTCCCTGCTCATTCAACTTCAAACAGCTCTGGTAAATACTACATGCCACACCTTTAACACCTTCAACAACCCTTTTAACCTTTTGGGGGGGGTGCCTTGGTGACAAACAATATGGAGAAGGCAGAGTTGCTGAATGCCTTTTTTGCTTCAGCCCTCAGGAATCTCAGACCCTGGAGACAAGAGAGGAAGTCCAGAGAAAGGAGGACTTTCCCTTGGTCAAAGAGGATCAGTTCAGAGATCATCTAAGCAAACTTGACACCCACAAATACATGGGCCCTGATGGAATGCACCCACAGATGCTGAGGGAGCTGACTGATGTTATTGCTAGGCCAGAATATGGTGTGGAGAATAGGAGAGGTGCCTGAGGACTGGAAGAGAGCCAATGTCATGCCAGTCTTCAAAAAGAGCAAGAAGGAGGACTCAGGGAACCACAGGCCAGTCAGTCTCACCTCCATCCCTGGAAAGGTGATGGAACAGCTCATCCTATCTCCAAGCATGTGGAGGATACGAAGGTGATCGGGAATAGTCATCATTGGTTCACCAAGGGGAAGTCATGTTTGTCCAATCTGATATCCTTCTATGATGAGATGACTGGTTGTGTAGATGAGGAGAGAGTGGTGGATGTGGTCTACCTTGACTTCAGCAAGACTTTTGACACTATCTCCCATAACATCCTCATAGACAAGCTCAGGACATGCAACCTAGATGAGCAGACGGTGAGGTGGATTGGCGATTGGCTGGACAACAGAGCTCAGAGGGTTCTGCTTAGTGGTACAAAATCTAGTTGGAGGCCTGTAGGTAGCGGTGTCTCCCAGGGGTCAGTACTGGGTCCAGTCTTGTTCAATTTATTCATCAAGAGCCTGTACGATGGAACAGAGTGCACCTTCAGCAAGTTTGCTGATGACAAAGCTGGGAGGAGTGGCTGACACCCCAGAGGGCTGTGCTGCCTTTCAGAGGGACCTCGAGAGGCTGGAGGGTTGGGCCGAGAGGAACCTCATAAAGTTCAACAAAGGGCAAGTGCAGGGTCCTGCACCTAGGGAGGAATAACTCTAAGCACCAGTACAGGCTGGGGGGTGACCTTCTGGAGTGCAGCTCTGCAGAGAGGGACCTGGGAGTCCTGGTGGACGGCAGGCTGACCATGAGTCAGCAATGTGGCATTGTGGCCAAGAAGACCAATGGTATTATGGGCTGCATTCGGAAGAGTGTTTCCAGCAGGTCACGGGAGGTGATTCTCCCCCTCTACTCAGTCCCAGTGAGGCCACACCTGGAGTAGTGTGATCAGTTCTGGGCTCCCCAGTACAAGAGTAATATGGAACTACTGGAGTGAGTCCAAAGGAAGGCTATGAAGATGATTAGAGGACTGGAGCACCTGCCATAGGAGGACAGGCTGAAAGAACTGGGCCTGTTTAGCCTGGAAAAGAGAAGACTGAGGGGAGACCTCATCAACATGTATGAATATCTGAGGGGAGGGTGTCAAGAGGATGGAGCCGGTCTCTTTTCAGTTGTGCCCAGTGAGAGGACGAGAGGCAATGGGCACAAACTGAAGCACAGGAGCTTCTGGCTTAATATGAGGAGGCACTTCTTTACTGTGAGGGTGACAGAGCACTGGAACAGGTTGCCCAGAGAGGTTGTAGAGTCTCCTTCTCTGGGAATATTCAAAGCCCACCTTGATGCCATCCTGCGCAGTATTTTCTAAGTGATCCTGCTTGGCAGGGGGGTTGGACTAGATGATCTTCATAGGTCCCTTCTAAACTCGGCCATTCTGTGATTCTGTGATTTTGAATTGAATGGTGCTTAATAATAAGATGACAAAATACTAGAGAACCTTTTCTTTAGTGAGACTGTATGTTTTTCAGTTTAAACAATACTGTTATTCTACATTTTCACCTTTTTGTTGGACTCATGAAGGCTGGATGTGCAATGCTTAATGGGGATTGCTGAAAATTCTGTCAATCAGCCCTGACTGTTTGCTTTTCCCCAAAGGTGAGCATCTGCTTGGAATGCAATAGCAGCAAATTACGTGGATTGAAACGAAAATGGATCCGCTGCTCAGCACAAGCAACGGTCTTGCATATAAAGAAGTTCATTGCTAAAAAACTTAACCTTTCTTCTTTTAATGAGGTAATTGTTTTAATGTTTTAATGTTTAAACATGATTTTGTAAATCAAAATCTTATGGATTATTTTCAAAACAGTGTATTTCTTTCCAATTAGATTTTCAAAAAACAAAAGCATACTGTATTTCCTGATATAAAGAAACAGAAAATGGCTATTTAAATTGATGAGCTTAATGCAGAGAAATAGTTTTTTTTCACACACACACATACACACATACACACACACTTTAATTTAGGAATGCTGGTCATCTTCCCTTTTATTCCTCTCCTCCAATACAATGGAAATGTAGCTCTTACTAATTGTTGGCTTTATACAGAGTTGGCAGTGCAGCTCCGTGTGTTGTTCCATGACCAGTTTTAAAATATACCAAGAGGCTTGGTTATGTATTTCCACCTCTGTTCTGCAAGATGCTTTGGTGGCCTTTAATGAAGGGATACGCTGCTTCAGCTGAGATTTTTCACTCAGTGCGGAGAATAGATGATAACACTTGGGGATTACTGAAAGACTGATTTAATGGAAAGCAGCATATATACTTTCTTCTGCTTCTCTACTCTGAGTGAAACTCAGCTGGTGCTGCCTACTCTGAGCAGAAGGGCAGTATATAACTATTTTACCTTGTCCTGGTTTCAGTTAGGATAGAGTTAATTGTTGTGGTTTAACCCAGCCAGCAGCTAAGCACCACACAGCTGGCCAGCAGCCAAGCACCACAGAGCCATTCTTTCACCCTCCCCCTTCCCTCTCTGGGATGGGGGAGAGAAATGGGAAAGTGAAGCCTGTGGGTTGAGATAAAGACAGTTTAATAAGACAGGAAAATAATAATAATAATAATAATAATAATAATAATATATATATATATATATATATATATATATATACGGAACAAGTGATGCACAATACAACTGCTCACCACCCACTGACCAATGCCCTGACAATCCTCGAGCAGCCGCCCCCCCCCCCCCCCCGGCTAGCCACCCCTATATATTGTTTAGCATGATGTCAGATGGGGTGGAATATCCCTTTGGCCAGTTTGGGTCACCTGTCCTGGGTCTGTCCCCTCCCAGCTCCTGCTGCACCCCCAGCCTGCCCACTTGCAGGACAGAGTGAGAAGCTGAAAAGTCCTAGGCTTGGTGTAAGCACTGCTCTGCAACAGTTAAAACATCAGCATGTTATCAGCACTCTTCTCATCCTAAGCCAAAACAGCATTCTACCAGCTACTAGGAAGAAAATTAACTCTATCCTAACTGAAACTAGGACAACTTTTTCCCTGCAGGGAGTATATAATAAGACTGATCCTCAAAGAAATCTTGGTAAGGGAAGAAAGAGGCTTTTCTATCCTCTGCAAGTTCTGCCATTTCAGGTTCTAAAACTAGAACACATAATGGCAGGCATGTGAAAACTCAGCCTCTGTTCCTCCCTTTGTTGGTATTAGTCACAGTCCCTTCCATTCAGTCTGACTCTCAAACTTCCATCTCTCAATCTTGAAAACTTCTAAAGATGGTGATGACATGACCTCTTTGGACAACTTTTTCTGTTGATTAATTATCCTCGTATTGATTTTTTTTCTTATATCCAGTCAGAGCTTCCTTTTTTTTTTCCATTGAAGACCATTGTCTCTCATTCTCCCACCATGTACCTCAGAAAAGACCCTAGCTCTATATTCTCTATAGGCTTCTCTTAGGTATTGGAAGTCTGTAACTAGGTTCCCCTTAAGCTTTCTCTTTTCCAAGCTAAACAAGCCCAGTTCCCTCAACCTCTCCTCATAGGTCCTGTGTTCAAGCACCCTGACCATCTTGGTGGCCCTCCACTGAACTTGCTCAAGTTTATCAACATTTCTTGTACTGGAGGGGCCAAAACTGGATGCAGCATTCCATATGTGGTCTAATAAGTGCTGAGCAAAGGGGAATAATCACCTCCCTCAATCTGCTGGCTCTGCTTCTATTGATACAGTCCAGAATGCTGTTAGTCTTCATCACTGCAAGAACATACTGCTGACTGATGTTCAGCTTGCTGTCAACCAGAACCCTTAGGTCCTTTTCAGCAGAGCTGCTGCCCAGCTTGTACCATCTCATGACTTTTCTAGTATTCTTGTTGAATTTCATGAGGTTCTTGTCAGCCCATCCCTCTAGTCTGTTTAGGTCTCCCTGAATGGCAGCAGCTTCCTCAATTACGTCAGCTGCTCTCCCCCAGTATGGTGTGCAGTGGGTTTACGTGGCAAGGTTTTGGTAGCAGGGGGCCATGGGGATGGCTTCTGTGAGAAGGATCTAGAAGCTGTCCCATTGCTGGCCCATTGTAAGGGCCCCACTGCTGACCAGAGCTGAGCCAATAAGCGATGTTGTTTTGTGCCTCTGTGAGAGCATATTTAAGACAGGGAAAAAAAATGCTGCACCACACAGCAGCTGGGAGAATGAGAGGAGTGAGGAACAACCTTGCAGGCACCAAGTTCAGTGAAGAAGGAGGGGGAGAGGTGCTCCAGGCACCGGAGCAGAAGTCCTCTGCGGCCTGTGGTGAGGACCATGGTGAAGCAGGCTGTCCCTCTGCAGCCCATGGAGTACCACGGTGGAGCAGGGTTTCACGCTGCAGCCCGTGGAGGAGACCACAGTGGAGCAGGTGGCCCTGCACTGACAGAGGCTGCTGCCGGAGCAGGTTCTGGGCTGGACCTGTAGCCCGTGAAGAGGAGACCACGCAGGAGCAGGTGACTTGGCAGGAGCTGCTGCCCGTGGGGGACCCAGGTTGGAGCAGTTTGCTCCTGAGGGATGAACCCTGTGGTACAGACCCATATCTGGAGCAGTTCTGGAAGAGCTGCTGCCTGTGGGGAGCCCACGCCGGATCAGTTCATCAAGGACTGCATCCCGTGGGAGGGACCCCACAGCACAGGGGATGAGAGTGACCGAGAAGGAGCGGCAGAGAAGAAGCGCTCTAGACTGACCATAACCCCCATTCCCCCATTCCCCTGCGCCACTCGGGGGGAGGAGGTGGAAGAGAGTGGATGGGGGGGGAAGGTGCTTTTGGTTTCTTTCCTTTGTTTCTCACTTCTCTAGCTTGTTGTTAGTAATAAGCAATAAATCTTGCTGTCTCCCTATGCCGAGTCTGTTTTGCCCGTTACAATAATTATTGCGTGATTTTCTCGTCCTTATCTCAACCTTTGAGCCCTTTCCATCATATTTTCTCCCCGTTCCTCTTTGAGGAGGGGGAGTGAGAGAGCGGCTGTGGTGGAGCTCGGCTGCCCACTCGAGCGGAACCACGACATGGTATCATACACAAGCTTGATGAGATGGATTCTGTCCCCTCTTCCAGATCACTGATAAGGACATTCAACAGGACAGGTCCCAGGATAGACCCCTGCAATACTCCACATGTCACTGTTCTCTGTGTAGAGTACAACCCATTAACCACTGCCCTCTGAGCCCAATGATCCACCCATTTTTTCACCCATCAGGAAGTCCACCCATCCAGCAAATTTGGATACAAGGATGCTGTGCAAGATGGTGCTGAAAGCCTTGCTTCCGTCAAGGTGGACAACATCCACTGTTCTCTACTGATCCATGGATCTAGTTATTTCATTAAAGAAGACATTCAGGTTGGTCAAGCATTATTTTTCCCTTGGTGGCTGGAAATAGCCAACACCTTCACCTTTATGTGCCCAGAAATGGCTTCCAAGATGACTCTCTCAGAGATCACCAAAGTGAGGCTGACTGGTCTCTAGTTCCCTAGATAGTCCTTAATACCATTTTTAAAGATGGGTGCAACATTTCTCAAGTCATTGGATACCTTTCCTGATCTCCATGACCTTTCAGTGATGATAGTGTGGTCTTGCAATTATATCAGCCAACTCTTGTGGCACCCTTGGATGCATCCCATCTGGACTACTATGGGTTGAGATTTCTCAATAGATCCCTGGCTCAATCCTCCTCTACTACTGGTAGTTTTTCTCCTCCTTGAAACCTGTCTCTAGGCACAAAGACATGGGAGACCGTGTTGGTGAAAACCAAGGCAAAGAAGGAACTGAGTACCTCAGCTTTATCTGCAGACACTGTCACTAAATTGTCTAGCCCATGCAGCAATGGGCACACATTTTCCTTGTTTATTCTTTTATTGGTAACATAGCAGTAGAAGTTCTTGTTGCCTTTAATGTCTCTTGCCAGTTTCAATTCCAGATGAGCTTTCCCCAAACCATCTCTGTATACCCAGGCAATGTTTCTATATTCCTTCTATGTAGCCTGTTCACATTTCCACCTCCTGTATATGTTCTTTTTGCATTGGAGTTCAGTCATGAGCTTCCTGTTGAGTCAAACTGATCTCCTGACACATCTACTCATTTTGCTAAGTATTGGGATGAACAGTTCTTGTGGTTGGAAGAGGTTGTCTTTAAAGACCTGTCATCTCTTGAGCTTCTTTGCACTTCAGAGCTGTCTCCCATGGGATCCCACCCACCAGCTCCCTGAAAAGCAAAAATCTGCTCTCCTGAAGTCTGGGATCTATACTCTGCTACTTGATTTCCTCACTCCCTTCAGAATCTTGAATTTCACTATTTCGTTGTTCCTATAGTCATGACTGCCATCGATTATCATGTCCCCAGAAAGTTCTTCCTTTTTGGTGAGTAATAGATCCAGCTGTATGTCACCCCTGGTTGGCCCATCTAGCATCTATGTTAGTCTCCGATACCTTTCAGAAACCTGGACTGCTTTCTTACCAATTGCACCATTCCTTTTGTGTTTAAACTTACTATTCCACTGCAGCAATCTCTGTTTTTACAACCTACCTGGTTCTTATTGAAATGCAAGAATGTTCATGTATTTGAGTTTCAGGAGTCTTTCCCCCTTAAAGGGCACACAGCATTTTTGTGGAAACTGTGTATTGGTATGTCCAGTGAAAATATGTGTTGAGGAGGAAAGCTATAAGGATGTGAACACTTGGTTGAATGCTATAGACAAATCCTGATTTGAGTCTGTCAGCTAAGCCATGTTAATGGATTGCATGCACATTCTTAGCTTTCTCAGGTTGTGGTAAAGTGCCACTAGCATATGTCACTGTCACGGTGACTTATCCTTTCAGTACATGTCACCTTGCAGTTCAGGTAAGATAAGATCATGTGCGTGATCATCTATTGAAATTCAGCTGATGGCTGGTCACATGATTTCACATTTGCTCATGTATCCATACCCTCGCTGTTTCCAATATCAAGATCTTTCAAAGCTGACATAGAAAAGAAAAAACAACTATAAAGTCTCTGTAAAACAAAAACCCCACTGATGTATAAGGGGGAATAGCCTTTTTAAAAATGTATCTTCAAAGTAGAAAGTCACTTCCTGGGCACTGTGTAAGCAATTTTCATAGCATGTCAAACAACAAAGCTGTCTTTACCTGAGAATTGTTCTGTTTCTTTGATCTTTTTATTGGGCCTTGTATGAAGTGCATTGTTTCAAGGCCATGTTCTGTGTATCAGTGAATTAATTATTTCTTCTTTTTTTGTCAGCTGGATATATTATGCAATGAAGAGATTCTTGGCAAGGACCACACACTCAAGTTTGTAGTTGTTACTAGATGGAGGTTTAAGGTATGACACAACTGCTTTTCAGCAAAATTTTCATTTTCCATATAAATCGTTAGCTGACTAAAGAACAAAGTTCATAAAACATATATCTCACATGTCTATACTGCAATAACTTCAAAATGGTTAAAACATATTTTTAAAAATGTCTAATAAACTACCTTTAAAAGCAGGTATTTTTCTTGGTTTGAAAGAGAAAAGGGAGGAAAATTTTAAAATATGCCACTAAGGAAAAGGGGAAGTTAATAGCAGATGTCAAGTTGATTGTAATTAAAAATTATAAGGTAAAAGAGGCTGAAGCCATTGAGAAGGGCATTTTTCTCAGCCATGTAAATCATATACAATTAATATTACTTTGTGTAGGTTGTGAAACTGGTTACAATGCAGAAGAGACAAATATTTAGTATATTCGTACCCTGTAGTTTGGTAGAGAGAGGGTGAATATACTCATTAAAGGATGAGGATGAATTAAATTTACTCCCCACTTTAAGTTCAAGAGACTTGTATCAACATTTAGTAGTCTGGGGAAAGCAGTTGAGTGGGTCTCTGAGTTACTGATGTTAGTATCTTTAAACAAAATAAAACCAAACCCCTGCACAACAAAACAGAACTGAATAGCAATGATGGGGCATTCATACTGAGAGATTTATACTGGATTCATGAGGATTCATACTGTGCATTCATGTGATTTATACCCACACAAATAAAATGGGTTTAAGTATCATGAAATGTCAGGTTAAAAATCTAGGCTACAAGTCACACCTAGAAGTGTGTATGGTTTGGGAGAGAGAACCTATATAGAATAATAGGTTCAGAGAATAGTTTGGGTTGGAAGGGACCTTAAAAATCATCTAGTTCTAACCCCCCTGCCATGGACAGGGACACCTTCTATTAGACAAGGTTGCTCAAAGCCCCATCCAACCACTTCCAGTAATGGGGCATCCACAGCTTCTGTGGGCAACCTGTTCCAGTGCCTCACCTTCCTCAGAGTAAAGACTTTCATCCTAATATCTAATCTAAATCGACCCTCTTGTAGTTTAAAGTCATTCCCCCTTGTCCTATCAGTACACTCCCTGATAAAGAGTCCCTCCCCAGCTTTCTTGTAGGTCCCCTTTAGGTACTGGAAGACTGCTATGAGGTCTCCCCGGAGCCTTCTCTTCTTCAGGCTGAAGAACCCCAACTCTCTCAGCCTGTCTTTGTAGGAGAGGTGTTCCAGCCCTCTGAGCATCCTCATGGCCCTCCTCTGGACATGCTCCAACAGGCCCATGTCATTCTTATATTGGGGGCTCCAGAGCTGAATGCAGTACTCTGGGTGGGGTCTCACAAGATCAGAGTAGAGGGGGAGAATAATCTCCCTCGACCTGCTGTCCACACTATTTTTGATGCAGCCCAGGATATGGTTAGCAATGCGCTGACTCACGCTGAGCTTCTCATCAACCAACACTCCCAAGTCCTTCTCCTCATGGCTGCTCTCAGTCCATTCCCTGCCCATCCTGTATTTATGCTTGGGATTGTCCCAACACAGGTGCAGGACCTTGTACTTGGCCTAGTTGAACTTCTTGAGGTTCATACCTCATGAGTTTGAACTTTGAAGAGGGGTTAGTGTTCATAATGAATATGCAACACAAGCTTCCTAATACTTTTGGATGCATAAATAGAAGGATGAGTGAGAATAGGTAGGCAATTTTTATCCATGTATGAGGAAATAATTGATTTCAGATTAGGAAACAGAGGATATGAGACTTAGGTCAGTTATGACATATTCGTGAATGACCTGGAAGAGAGGTGAAATAGTGAGGTGACACTGGCACCAATAAAGTTATTCAAGACAGTAAAGATAAATGTTAGTGATGAAAGGTCGCAGGAGACCTTTATAGTACTGGATGACCAGGTGATAAAATGGCACCTGAGGTTCAGTAAGGGTAAATCATGTATCTGGGCATAGATACATAGATAAATCATATCAAGGGCAAAACATGTATCTGAACTTTATGTATAAAAATGGTGGGCTCTGAATTGACTGACATCAAACAGTAATCAGGCTTTGGGGTTAGACATAAAGATATTGGCTCAGTAATGGTCCAAGAAAAACACAGAAGAAATGCTAGAAATTATTAGGAAAAGAATAGAGAGCTAAACAAGAGCACTGCTGTGCTTCTGTATAAATCCACTATTTACCTGTATCATGTGCAGTCGTGATTGGCATGGAAAAAGGAAAAACTATAAACTGTCATATTCTATGAAAGAGATGAAGGGTGGCAAGTGAAACTAGTAGGTATGAAGTTTGGAATGAACAAAGAGGAAAAGCAATTTTGTTGTAAATTCTATTTACCCTGATGGGGAATTGAGTTGGGAGAAACAAAGATCACAACCAATATTCATTAATAACAGAATTTATAAAGCTGTTACTAATAGGGTCAAACTATTATTAATAGCAGATGATAACTCATTTATTCCCTCACACATTTGCTCATAGTTACCCAGTTGGAAAAACAACAGGGAGACCAACTCCATCTGTGTATTCAGAAGCAGAGGGTCATACAGACATGCCAGTGGCTTCTAAGTAGGTGTTCAAACAGTCCTTTATAACACAACTCTCCACGTTCATACCTAAGTTAAACAGTATTGTCAATTTTCATTCATAGTTTACATAATCACAGAATGTTTCATTAACTGTATAATAATTATAAGCATAAACATTTTGATTCTATAGTATTTATGATTATCACAATTAATAAAATTATACATTCAAATGTGATTAATCATACAACGGGGAGGGGCTTAAGAGATATACAAATATTTCCTTCAGCCTTATCCCTTAAATGTTTTCCCCAATATCTCCCCACGACATGTTGGTAATGTTGAAATGTTTCTCATTCCTCATATAATTGTTTAGTTAGCCAATATGTTCTCTTTTATCATGAGTAAGATTACATTTACAGCAGATCTTTCCCAATTCTATTATACATGTACATTTTACATATCTTGTTAGGTATCCTAATATAATTGTCACATAATGTAGCCCTGGTACAAGAATAGTGATATTCCTGGTCACTACTGAAAAAGCGAACATGATCAAACCAGTTTCATCTAGCTTTCACTGTTGATATTAGTGGCTTGATCTGATCCAAAGTTCTCAGCTATCCTTGCTCTAATTTTGCCCTTCTTATCTTCTTGCAGGCTCTCTCATAACTTAGTGATTTTCTCAGAAATGTGTCACCAGGCTAGGCAGCTGTGTAGTATCAGAGCTGGGCTTTGGATCCTTGGGACGCAGGCGACTAAACAGTTGGGGAGGGAGAAGGAGAAATAGCAGGGGGAATTACACAGAGCTGTTCACATTCATTACATTCATGTATAGACTTCTACCATTCTCTTTCTTCTTTTACAGAAATGCTAGGTTTAGTGGTTAAGTTCTGATTATTAGATATAAGTAACGTCCAAAACAGGTCAGGTCCAAGATCAAGCCAGAAAGTTAGGCCACAGGTCAGGATCTATGAGGGTATATGATCAGCAACAGCTGTGGAGATCAATACTCCCACAACACATCTCAGACAAGAAGTGAAGGCTCAACTCTGAGATGGACAGATGAGGGGAGGCCCCAGGTGATGTTGTTCAGGTCCATTAAGGCCTATTAGTGCCCTGAAAGTCCTGACATATTTGCCATTACCTTCATCTATTTGATGTTACAGGGTTCATCCTATCTGTTATATAATTGGACCCTTTCTATTTCAGCTCTAAAGCATGTTCCATTTATCCAGTTTCAAATACATCACTTGGTCCCCTTTTCTATAGGATATACATGAATTCAATTCTTCCTTTCTCATTTTCCATTTTTTTCTTGTATTACTTCCATGTGAGACTTGATTTCTTCTTCATCCTGTTGTAATGTTTTCACTTTTTCACACTGATCTCTTTTCAGGAGCTCTAGGGGTCACCAAGGTATGGGCTGTTCAAATGTTATATGGTACAGTTTTAAACCACTACTTAATCTGTCACCATTCCTTAAAGCTGCTAATATAAAGGGTATTTTTCCAGCCCATTGTTTTGGATATTGTCCTACAATTTTTGTTAGACTATTTTTTATAGTCTGATTCATTCTTTCTACCATTCTGGATGATTGTGGGTGGTAGGATATATGCAGTCTTTGTTTAATCCCCCGGTCACTCATTCAGGCTTGAGTACCTTCATTTACAAAAGTCCCTTTGTTTTCTGATCCTCTGTCTGCTGGTGTTCCATATCTACACATAATTTCCTTAAACAGATTTTTTACAGTTACAGTGGCTGTGTTCCTTTTAGTGGAAAAAATTTCAACCCATCCTGATAATATATCTATGATGACAAGGAAATACTTATATCCTCCTTTAGTTCATGGAAACTTATCTTTATAATCCATTTGAAGTATTTGCTAAGATCCAATGCTTTTCTGATACAATAGAGGTGGCACCTTAGTTTTACTAGTTTACTTTTGTATCATTGAATATCTCATACAATTTTTAATTATGTGCTCAATTTCTTGCTTCATTTGTGGCCAAGTATAAATTCCTTGAACTCTTTTTAGAGTGCCTTGTGCTCCTTCATGTAACTTATTATGACAATCTAAGATGATTTGTTTTCTTTAAGACAACACTGCTATCCATTTCCTCTTATCATTACCTGTTTCCTGGTTTAAACTGTGGCAATTGTTGACTGATCTATTTGATCATTGAACTGTTTCTCAGTGTTGTTTTCAGTCTTCTCATGTGCTTTAACATGCTTATATATTTTTCTCACTGTCTCTCTGAGCTTGTAAAATGAACCTCTGGTTTTCTTCCATTCTGGTCTTCCATTCCTCTTTCACCTAGTCATTAGTCTACTATTTTACTCCAATAATCACTGTACATAAAGAGATTTAATGGGTTCTGTTTAGAGGGTTTGCCTTTTAATAACTTCTATGGTAGCCTACACTTCTGCTGTTTTGGATAATCCTTTGTTGTGGGTTGACCCTGACCAGCCACTAAACACCCGCA